CCTTCCTGGTAGAGAGGGGAAGGGGGACACCTTTATGAATTTATGTCCTGTTTTTGGACAAATAGGGGGAAAGAAGAGAGTTTGTCTTGCAACTACTCTTCTCAGTTGCCTTTCAAAATAATTCTTACACCAAAGTGGCATATTTTGGGGTGGCATATTCATCTACTCTTCACTAGGTCTAGAAAGATCACATAGAGAAACCACATGAAAAGCTCAGATAGAGACTGACAAGCCCTGGGATAATATAGAGAAAGAGGGAGACCCAGCCAAGCTCAGCCTTCCAGACCTCCTTTCCAAGATGCCAGACATGTGAGCGAGCCATTGGATACTGTAGCCCTGACCATGACCTGATTTTACCAACATGAAAAACCTCCAGAAAGACCAGCAGAAGAACCTCTTAGCTGATCCCAGTCAATTCATAGAAGCATGAGATAGTGGTTGCTTTAAGCCCCTAAGTTTTGGGGGTGATTTGTTATGCAGCAATCGATAAGTGGAACAGTAGGGTAGGGCCAAGGTGGCAGCAGGGAAAGAGAGTGTGGTGTATTGTGCATTGGCTTTTACATGCCTCCATCCAGAAGTGACAGGTAAAATTTCCATTCCTATTTCATTTGCAAAAGCAAGTCCTATAGCCATGCTTAACTTCAGGGACTTTATGTCCAGGAAAGAAAGTCCAGAGTGAAATCTACCACCCCACCTCTAGCAGCAAGGGACGCTGGGGAAGCCGAGCAGGTTTGCAACGATTTGTTGTATGGATTCATTACCTAGGGCTGGGCACACTGCAGCCCTGAACACAATCAAGATACTGTTGTTGGGGGGTGAAGGCAGGAATACATACAGCATTTGCTCCAAGAGGGGAGTGGTAAGTGACAGAGAGATTGCAAAGGCTGCCACCAGCTCTTGCACCCTGCCCTGACCCTGGCCCTACCCACTAAACTTGAGTTCTCGCCATCCTCACACTTTCAATCCATACATTTGGAATTTGAGTTTGGAACAAGAAAGGGAGAGAGAGAAGGGAAAGAGGAAGAAATAAAGGAGGGATGGAGAAAAGAGGCAACAGTTATGTACTTGGGTGTGAAATGAAAGACCTTGAGTGCTCCTGACTCTAACTTCAGCACTTTTTCCACCACTTAGGGGGAGAAAATGATTAGTGTTTGCACAAAAATGTCAAACAGAAAGACAAAGGGAAAGGGAACATTTCAAAGAAGTGTGAAGTGTGTGGCAGTCTGGGTGGTCTGGTTGAAAAAGGGAAAAAAAAATTCTTCTCAAGTTGTGCTTTGGGAAACTCTTGGAGGAATGGAACATTCTGATCTAAGGCTTAATGCCTTGAGTGCCACTCTCTCTATCCACAGCCCTAATGTAGATAACTGTTTTTTTCTCCCCTTTCTTCTAAGTTCCCAGCTCAGCTCACAGTTTCTTCCTTGTTGGTCAAAATTAAAACCAAAATAGCAACTCTTTTTTTAATTTCTGTATTAAGTGAAAGATAAAATCCTAAGGAAATGTTTAACCATCTTCAAAAGACTTTTCATATACTGTCCTCAAGAGAACTTTATTTACCATCCTCATTTTACTTGTTAAAGAATTGGGGCTAAGAGAGGTTAATTTATCCAAATTTACCTAACACATCTGACACTAGATTTAGTCACCTTCATAATCCCTTAAGTTAACCACCAAAATACTCAGACTTTCAAGAAGTTATTTGGTGCATTGTTCTTAATAGAACCTGGGATCTAGAAATTGTCTAGATAGCTTGGCCAGCATTTATTATCTCATTCAGGAATATAATTTCTAGTTCCTCCTTCTGATGGAACTGTCTTTGGTATCCTCCCACATCTATATCATTTTTGCTTTCTCTCTACTTTTATTCTCATCCAAAAGTTCCCCACTGTACTCCTACCTAGCAGATATGGGTTTCCATACATGTGGATATCTCAAGTCATGTCCATTTGTGGCCAAGTCCGTTTATGCCGATTTTACTCACTTGACTTTATGATGCCTATTAGGTATATTTTCTGCCTTATATTGAAGCCTCAAGTTCACCTAGTTTTTGCCCCTGCTTTGCTGTCTCTCCCACTCTAGCCCCTTCAAATAAATCACATTACCCACAAAGCCTGCCTTGGGCATCAGTAAAACTTTGAAGGACTTCATCATCATTTTGCCCTTATTATCAGATCAATGGCTCTTATATTTCCTGGTTCTCTTGGGCCCTGAACCTAGTTCCTGTTTTCTGCCTAGTGCTGCTGGTTAGTGGCATGAAGTTGCTCTTCCAATTTCTTCTATGCCCATCCTAAAAAATGCCTTATTGAAGCATGCGATAATAATGAGAACTGCCATTGGATATGGGTCTACCACATGTCTACCTCTAAGCTAAATATTTTATGTATTATTGCATTTACTCCTGTAGGGGAGGAAAAATAATTTACCCTCTACTCTTCTAAGTTCTCTGCTGGGAACTCTGTAACAAAAAACAGATTAACAAAAGAAATACAGACAGAAATTTATTAACATGTATACTTCATATATGAATGGGGGACAGTAACTCTCAGAGGTAGTTTAGAGTTTGGGCTTAAATATTATTTTCAGCTAAAGACAAAAGAGAGAAGGGTATGAGGGAAGTCAGTTATAGGGAGATGAGCAGGAAAAGTATGGTAAACAAGAATAAGTTTTGCTATGCAGACTTAAGTCCTGTGCCTTCTCCTTTGATGGGTTGAGTTTATTCTGATTTAGTCATTCTTCTCCCCCTGGGGCAGAGAGGGAGACCCCCTTAAAAATGGAGGTTTCCTTATAAATGTAAAGTTCCCTTACAAAAGGGTAACTTCTAATCTGTTTTCCGAGCTTCTTCTTTGTCTTCTCTTTCTCAAAATAATTCTTACGCCAAAGATTTGGGGTGGCACATCTTACCACCCTTCACTCCTCATGACAAACCAGCCAGGTACTTCTATTCCCTTCATTTTTCCAGGAAGAAGAAACAGAAGCAGCATTAGTGCTGGGAAACATTCCTCATATTTTAAGTAAACCTCTTGTCTGGACATGTGGCACTGTGCTAGGTTCTCTACATATACTACTTCATCTGGTCTTCCCAACAGTCCTGCAAACTGTCTAGGCATTCTCATCTCTACTTTTTTGGGGGGCAGGGGAAAGGGAACACTGAGGCTCAAGGAGGCTAGGTGACTTCTGAAGCAGGCCAAGGTTTAAACTTCAGTCTCCTCTCTAGCCACACAGGCCTGCTTGCCAGACCCTTTTTAGGACCTTTGTCCTAATTGTTGCCTCTGCCTCAATGCTCTTCCCCCATATCCACATGTCTCCCTTCCTCACCTCCTCCACATTACTTGTTCAAATGTCACCCTATCAGTGAGGATTTCCCTCCCCCTTGTGTTAGACCTATACCTTCACTCATGGCTGTCCCTCACCTCTTCCCCACTTTATTTTTCTCCATAGCACTTATCACTCTCTGACACCACACATTTTAGTTACTAGAATGCAAGTTCCAAGATAGGATTTTTGTCAATTCACTACACTAGTATGTGTACAGTTTTTGAGAAGTATTTGTTGAAAGAATGGATGGGTAAATAAATATCTAATTCCAAAGTCTATTCCCTTTCACCATGGTACTCTCAGATCTTTTGTGTCAATCATATCTTCCTTTTGCTTCTAGGTTACTTTCTCATGCTAAGGAATGTTTTTTTTTTTTTTTTAAATAAATGCCTACATTCAGTATTATCAAGGAAAAGAAGAAACAAGTCCAGCCCCTGGAAACCGCACTAGCAGCAGTTTTGAGCTTTCTCAAAGAACACTTATGTGCCTTCTTGTTTGTGATGCTCTGCTAGGTATTATGCAGAAAATATTAAACCAGAATGTTTATCTCGGGCTCCATCTCCCCCTCTAGTTGGCTGGTTACTGGGAGAGGCAGCACAGGTGCCTATGAACAAATGGAATACACATAGGATGTACCACCCACGCCTGAATGATAGGTGTTGGGAGCCAATGTTTAGAGGTCAGTCGGTCAGAGAGCAAATCCATGGGAGTTTCATTATTAGACAGGATGGGGTTTCCATAAATCAACCAAAGAGAACTTTTCCATCCAAAATCTGTTTGATTTGGGGAGCTACTGCTGAGAAGCCATTTATCTCCTACACAGTGAGCTTCCTTACAAGTTCATGGTGTGGTTGCTGGAACCAAACATTTGACTGAAGAAGCCATAATAACCATAATGCTGGAAGAAGAAATTGCAGCATCCCCTGTCCTTGGGAAGAACCCATTTTTCATGGTGTCATGCAGATCTTGGGCCTAATGCCAACTCTTTTTTAAAACTAATTTACTGGGATGCCTGGGTGGCTCAGTCGGTTGGGTGTCTGCCTTCAGCTCAGGTCATGGTCTCAGGGTTCTGAAATCAAGCCCTGCATTGGGCTCCCTGCTCAGTGGGGAGTCTGCTTCTCCCTCTGCCTCTGCCCCTCCACGTGCTCATATTCTCTCTCTGCCTCTCTCTGAAATAAATAAATAAAAATCTTTTTTTAAAAAAGGATATAGGTATATATTCACAGATGCCAGTCCGTTAACTGGCGGGGCTAAATGACTTTTTATAAGTGAATAAACCATAAACAAAGCCATCTCCAAGACAGCCTCCAACAGTCCCCACTCCTGAGATCTATACCCTTGTGTAGTTCCCTCCCACATCATGCTAGAGTTGTTCTGTTTGACCATTAGCATACAGCAGAACTAGTGACATGTCACTTCCTAGATTAGGCTATAAAAATAAAAGGTGAGGGGCGCCTGGGTGGCTCAGTGGATTTAAAGCCTTTGCCTTCGGCTCAGGTCATGATCCCACCGTCCTGGGATCAAGCCCTGAATCAGGCTCTCTGCTCAGCAGGGAGCCTGCCTTCCCCCCACCCCGCCCACCTGCCTCTCTGCCTACTTGTGATTTCTGTCTGTCAAATAAATAAATTAAAAATCTTAAAAATAAATAAATAAATAAAAGGTGAGGAATTGAAACCTTCTGCCAACAGCCATGTGAACACATCTGCAAGTGGATTCTCCTCAAAGCTTCATTCAAGCTTTCAGAAGACAGCCATCCCTGCTGACAGATTGCCTGCAACCTCATGAACCAGAACCCTTGGCTCAGCTGCTCCTGGACTCTGCACTGTTGTTGTTTAAAGTTGGTAAGTTTGGGGCACCTGGGTGGCTCAGTGGGTGAAGCCTCTGCCTTCAGCCCAGGTCATGATCTCAGGATGCTGGGATCCAGCCCTGCATCTGGCTCTCTGCTCAGCAGGGAGCCTGCTTCCCCCTCTCTCTCTGCCTGCCTCTCTGCCTACTTGTGATATCTCTCTCTGTGTCAAATAGATAAAATAAAATCTTTAAAAAAAGTTGCTAAGTTTTAGGGTAATTTGTTATGCAGCAATAGATCACTAAGACAATTTTTCATCCCAAAGTCCTCCCCTCTCCTAGGGCATATGAGCAATGTCTCTTTCACCATTTCTAGACATTTTGCACTTTGTTTGGCAACATATATTTCATAAGAAAAGACACAATTTAGTACCAGCATTTTCTTAGCTACCTGGTTTTAAAATCAGCTTCACTCAAGCCAGAACTTTAAAAAGGGAGAAAAACGACCTTATTGGATGTAGTAGGGGTCCCACTATGATTTCCAGCTCTAGTATTTCAAGATTACATGTTACTGTTACCAAAATTTCCCTTCTTTCATGCTTTCTTTCCATCATACTTACCTACTTCCTATGAATCTTCCTATGAATCCACTGATTGCTTTAAAGGAATCACATTCATAGGGCTTGGTACTCTTTCAATACTTTTTAAATTCATACATTTGCTCTTCAGTTCATGATAAAATGTTCTTTGAAGATCTCTGAAGAATGTTTTTAGGTCTAAGAATTTAAAAACATTAAGTGGGGTGCCTGGGCTCAGCTGGTTAAGCATCCGAATCTGGATTTCAGCTCAGGTCATGACCTCAGGGTCATGAGAGGGAGTCCCACATCGGGCTCTGCGCTGGGTGTGGAACCCACTTAAGATTCTCTCTCTCCCTCTCCTGCTGGCCCCTCCCCCTGTGTGCTCGCTCTCTCTCTCTCTCTCAATAAATAAGTAAATAAGTAAAAGTAAGTTAAAACATGGAATTCAACTGCTTCGGCCATTCAGAGGTAATGTATAAGAAGGTCTCAGAACAGTTCCTAGCATATGTGTTCAGTAAAATTATTATTTATATAGAAGTGCAGATTGACTCCCTATTATATAGATAAGGAGATGCTTAATGTGCTTAATACATAGAGACCAAAGTAGGGAAGAATTATCCACTAACAGCTTGGACTCCACAGTGGATGTCAAATTCAGAATAGCTCTTATAATTCTAGTCAAGAACGCCCCCATAGCATGGTTTCTATGATTTCTCCATCATCTGTCATATAAAGCTGTTAACAAAGCTGGTCTCTCAAATGCTTCCTGATAGGTCATTGTATAATGATCCGGCATAAAATGACTGAAAAACTTCTGTGGTTAGTTAATATCCATAGATATTATTAAAGGAAGGAAGGAAGAATTGATCATTTTCCAAAGCTATAATTGTCCTTAGTTCTGACCCACAAATAATTGTGCAAACTCACTTTGAGTATATTATAACTTTGCAGATCAGGTAAAATGTACACATGGTTTTATGTGTCAATAATTAACACATTACTGTGCCTTTGGATAAACACATTTCTTAGATTTAAGCTAGCAAATTACTGCCTCACACCTCTAGGAAACCAGGTATACATTTTACCTGATCTGCAAAGGTATAGGCCATTATAATATCCTCAAAATGAGTTTAGACAATTACTTGTGGGTCAGAACTAAGGGCAATTAAAGCTTTGGAAAATGATCCTTCCTTCCTTCCTTCCTTTGATGAATTTACTTTGAAGAACCAAAATTTATTTTCCCTTTTCCCCATCTTTATTGAGGTATAAGTGACAAATAAAATTGTACATATTTACGGTACATAATTTGATGTTTTGACATAATATACATTGTGAAATAATTGTCACAATCATGCTAATTAACATGAAAAAATGATGTTTCCAAATTTAAAAAATTTGAGTTGCAAGTGATTCCCTCATTATTTTACAAAGGAAATGAAGACAAACTGTAAAAAAAATGAAACAACAGAATATTACCACAAGAGAAAGCAGTTCCTGGGTGTTGTCTAGACAGGCATTCAGGAAGCAGTGACAGTATTACTTGTTCTTTTTCTTTTAACCACTTATCGAGAGAAAGAATATCAATTTTCATGTCATAAATAAGTCACTGAAGATGATTTACATTCCCCCTTCCTTCCCCAGAGAAAAAGGAAACTGAAAAGTTCAACATAAAATATACATTATTATACTTGGGCAGGCCTATAAGAGCAAAAGTTTTCTTATAACCTCATTACAATAAAACTACTAACACCTCTTGCTTACTAACACCATATTAATCAGTTATGATCTTGAAGTTATATGGTCCCTTATACCCCAAACACATGTAACTAATTTGACCCAATACTAGTTACCTAGTTCTGTATAGCAACGACCAATAAATTTATCAGCCTAACACAGCGACCACTTACTACCACACAATTCTCTGGGTTAGCAATTTGATTTGGGCTCAGAGGAGCCATTCTTCTGATCTTGGCTGGACTAACCCACCGGGGTGTGGTCAGCTGTTGGTTGGCTAAAGGGCTCTAGTTCTATGGGAGGGCTTATCTAAGACGACCTCGGCTGGGACAGGTCATCTCTGCCCCATATAGGCCTTTGACCTGGAGGCAATTTCCTGGCCTCTCCGGTGCTCTCTGCTGGCTCACTCACATCAACATACAAATAACGCTGTTACTTCTCTCACACCCAGAAAGTCCACTTTCATCTTTAGCTAACACCTTATCTCTGTTCATTCTTATAGCAAAACACTTGAAAAAATGTCTGTACTCACTGTCTTCAATTCCATTCTTCCCATTTTTGCTTAAAACCTATTCCAAAAGGTTTTAGCCCACACCATTCTGCCCAAGTGGCTCTTGTCAAGGTCACCGATAACCTTTATGTTGCTCAGTTCAACGATCCATTCCCATTCCTTACATGACCTGTCTGCATTTGACATGTGTCACCACCCCGTCTTCTCAAAACACTTCCTTCACCTGGCTTCTGGGCAGCACACCCACGTGCCTGTCGTCCTCCCTCACTAGCTTCCCCTTCCAGGTCTTCTTGGCTGGCTCCTTCTTATCTTCCTGATCTCTCAATGTCAGAGTTCCTCCAAACTCAGTCCTTGGATTTTTCTCTTCTCTTCCTTGATTTTACTCAGTTCCCTGGTGATCTCATCCAGTCTCCTGGTTTTAAGTACCATCAATATTCTGATAACTCCAAATTTATATCCCCATCCTCTACCCCAAGTCCAGACATAAATAGCCAGCTGCCTACAAGGTATCTCCACTTGGATGTTAGATTTTTCTATTTCTGCTGCAACAAACTGGGGAGTTTAAAACAACATGAATTTAATGGGGTACCTAGGTGGCTCAATCAGTTGGGTGTCTGCCTTTGACTCAGGTCGTGATCTTGGAGTCCTGGAATCGAGTCCCTGGAATCAGGCTCCCTCTTCAGCAAGGACTCTGCTTCTCCCTCTTCCTCTGCCCCTCCCCCCAGTCATGCGTACACTCTCTCAAATAAATAAAACCTTAATAATAATTAATAATAATTTTAAAAGACCATGAATTTATTATCTTACTGTTGTGGAGGTCAGAAATCCAAAATGGGTCTTACTGGGTAAAGTCAAGTTGTCAGCAGGGCTGCATTCCTTCTAAAGGCTCGAGGGGAGAATTAATTTTCTTAGACTTTCCAGTTTTTAGAGATTGCTGGCATTTCTTTGCTTGTGGCCCCTTCGATGCTCAAAGCCAGCAATGGCTGTCAAGTCTTTCTCACTTGCATTACTCTGACACTGACTTCTTAGTCTCCCTCTCCCACATTTAAAGACTTATAATTATATTACATACACCTGGATAGTGCAGGATAGCCTCCCTATCGTAAGGTAGGCTAATTAGCAACCTTAATTCTACGACTTTAATTCCCCCTTGCCATGTAACCAAACTTATTCACAGGCTCCAGGGATTAGGAACTGGAGGGCCCCTTTTGGGGGGTCATTACCCTGACTTCCACAAATGCCTTATAGTCATGTCAAACCTAGCATATCCAGATTGACCTCCGGATCTTACCAAGCCTGCTCCTCTCTAGGTCTTCCTCAATTTCAGTCTGTGCCAACCTCATCTTTCCAGTTGATTAGAGCACCAAGTTTAGAGTCAACTTTTTCTTCTCTTCTCTTTCTAGGTCATATCTAGTCTATGAGCAAATCCTGTGGACTCCACCTGCAGAATATACTTAGCATCTGATGATTCTCAAAACCTCCTTTGCAAACATGGGTTCATTCCCCTCCAGTACTATCCCGGGTTGCTGGTAATGGTCTCTAGATCTCCCAGAGTATCCTAATAGCCTCCCAACCCATCTCTGTGGGTTTCTACCCTGGCCTACCAGTGCCTGTTTCTTGTCTGCCCCCACATAGTCTATTCTCAATATAACAGCCAGATTATATATATATATATATATATATATATATATACACATATATATATATATATATTTTTTTTTTTTAAGATTTTATCTCTTTGACAGAGATCACAAGTAGGCAGAGAGGCAGGCAGAGAGAGAGGGAAGCAGGCTCGCCGCTGAGCAGAGAGCCCGATGCGGGGCTCGATCCCAGGACCCTGGGACCATCACCTGAGCCAAAAGCAGAGGCTTTAACCCACTGAGCCACCCAGGTGCCCCAGATGATATATTTTTTTAAAAATATTTTTATTTATTTGACACAGAGAGAGCATGAGAGAGAGCACAAACAGGGGGAGCAGCAGGCAGAGGGAGAAGCAAACTCCTGGCTGAGCAGGGAGCCTGATGTGGGACTCAATCCCAGGACTCTGGGATCATGACCTGAGCTGAAGGCAGACACTTAACTGACTGAGCAACCCAGGTGCCCCATCCAGATGACATTTTTACAACAGAAGTCAGAAGTCAGTCAACCATAAAAGCTAATGACAGCAACGCCCACATAATCTGGCCATTCCTTCTACTTCTCCAGCTTCTTCTGTTCTTCCCTGACATACTTGCTTCACTCCACCCACTAGGGCCTCCCTGCTTTGTCTCTAACAGTCCAGGCACTTCCTCAGGGCTTTTGTATTTGGCACTCTATTGTTTGAAAGGTTTACTATATGGGTCTCTTCATCTCCCTTAATCTTTGCTCCAAGTCACATTTTCAGTGAGGCTTTCCTTATTCATTATCTTTTATTTTTTAATTTTCCCCCTTTTTCTTTTATTGAAGTTTAGTTGACACACAATGTTACAATAGTTTCAGGAGTACAAGGTAGTGATGTGACAAATCTGCTTGTTATGCTATGCTCACTACAAGTGTGGCTACCGTCTCTCACCATACTACACTATCATAATACCGTTGCTATAGCTCCTCTGCATACCTTTTATCACTATGACTTCTTCATTCCAGAACCGGGAGCCTATACTTCCCGCTCCCCTTCACCAACTTTGTTTATCCCCCCCCAACCCCTTCCCCTGTGGCAACCATCAGTTCATCCTCTGTATTTATGAGTCTGTTTCTGCTTTTTGTTTTTTCGTTTTTGCAGATTCCACATATAAGTGAAATCCCTATGATACATGTCTTTTTCTGTCTGACTTATTTTACTTAGCGTAATACCCTCTAGGCTTATCCATGTTGTTGCAAATGGCAAAAGTGCATCCTTTTTTATGGCCAAATAATATTCCTCTGTGTGTGGGGTGTGTATGTGTGTGTGTGTGTGTATACACACACCACATCGTCTTTACCCATTCATCTATTAATGGACTCTTGCGTTGATTCCATATCTTGGCTATTGTAAATAATACTGCAATAAACATACAGGTGCATATATCTTCTCAGATTAGTGTTTTTGTTTTCTTGGGGTAAATACTCAGTAGTGGTATTATGGATCATATGTTATTTCTCTTCTATTTGATGAACCTCATTCTGTTTTCCACAGTGGCTGCACCAATATACATTTTCAATAAAAGAGCGCAAGTTTCTTTTTCTCCGCACCCTTGCCAATACTTGCTATTACACATTATTTGGAGTTTAGCCATTCCAACAGGTGTAAGGTGATATCTCGTTGAGGGTTCAATTTGCATTTCCCTGATAGTGAGTAATGTTGAGCCTCTTCTCACATCAGCCTTTAAACCGCATGCACATGCACAGAAACACGTACATAGAAACCTTTCCTTGTTTAATGCTTTACTTTTTCCAGTAGCATTTATCACATTCTAACTTACCATATAATTTAAATTTTTATACTTTATTTTTGTCTCTTACCACTAAATAGTAAATTCCATGAAGGCAGGCCTTCAGGTATTCCTAGTTCTTGGGCCAGTATCAGGCACATAGCAGACACTCAGTAAATATTAGACAAATAAATGATCTGTATCAGTTTTTTCATCAGTAAAATGGGAATAAAAAGAATAGTAACTACACCATAGAGTTGGGAGAATTTAGTAAGTTAGTATACATAAAGTGTTATCAGAGAGCCTGGCACAGAGAAAGTATTGAAGAGGTGTTTGGCTTGTAATCTCCCTACCACTTATACCGATTCTTCTCTTGTTACTCATTGAGCACCAAGCAATGCCTCTCAAGAGAGAACAACAGTAAGATGTTGAGAATACACTGTGTCCTAGCAATGAAGATATATGTAAGTACTTGCTATTTTATATAATTTAACAAGCCCTCAACAAGTAAGGATGTTGCAGTGATTGCTACTGAATCGCTCGGTGTGTATTTTGAGGACAGAATGTTCATCATCCTTATTTTTCTATTGGAGGGACACACGTTAATACGGACAAAGTAGGGGTGCCTGGGTGACTCAGTGGGTTAAAGCCTCTGCCTTCGGCTCAGGTCATGATCTCAGAGTCCTGGAATCAAGCCCCGCATTGAGCTCTCTGCTCAGCAGGGAGCCTGCTTCCCTCTCTCTCTCTCTGCCTGCCTCTCTGCCTACTTGTGATCTCTGTCTGTCAAATAAATAAATAAAATCTTAGAAAAAACAAACAAACAAACGGACAAAGTAACCTAAACCTTAGTCTCTCACCTATTCAAAACTGACCACAAAGGGCAGGCAGATGAGCTAAATCCTCACGACTGCTGTAGTTCCATATTCCTTTGTCATTTGTTGGATTTAGGCGATGACCTTCACGTCTAGAACCAGCACCAGTATTTCCCAGTTTGAATATTGGCACAAACCACAGACCATATTAATCTTATTTCAAAATGTCAAAATTCCAATATTCAGAGCATGTGAAGCTGTGCAAATATCCTTCGAGAATACATTAAAAAAATCAAAGTATTATCATTGGTTTTATTCCTTCATCCCCTCGCAGCATATACCAAACTGAATCCCAAAGATTCCAGCAAACTTATTTCCATTTACATACCAGTGAGGCCAAAGGGGAAAAAAGGGGGGGCTATTATCTGGAAACAGAAACTCAATGGAGAGCCAAACCTCAAACTTACACATCTATGAAAATTAAAGTCTCTCCTGACAAAGTAGGTCAAATATCACTGATGTGTGGCTGTTGCATGGTCAGTCTTACTCCCTGGTAAATAGAAATCACCAAAAAAATCAACTTTATAATAAATAGGATCATAGCTGGCTGCTTGTCTCTGATTAAATATAACTTCTGCTATTTAATTCAATTACTTCAGACAGAATTCTATGACATTTGACTCTGAATAAAACATTTTAACACCAATTTTGAAAACAACAGTGTGTGGTTGTACATATCATTCATTGTACCAGGATATCTAGCTAAGGGGGCAAGGCAGGCCGAAAGATTTTTGGTTTTGTTTATTTTTAATTCCAAAGCTTGACTGTGAATATTAGGGATAAAACCTGGAAGACTCAGAGCATACAGTACATGTCATAAGCCATAGAGCTGGAAAGAATAGGTGATAATATTATAGAGGATGGTAGTGAGTCATATACTACCAATGCCTAGATAATTCATAAGACGCTTCCAGAAATTTGGATCAGGCCTGGAGACAAGGGGAGAAAGGGAGAAGAAGGTGGAAGAGAAAACCCTTGAATGTGGCAATTTATCTAAAGAAAATGAATTTTCCAAAAATGACTAAGTTATAGTGACTTGGCAAGATTACATTTTCTGCAATCTACTCAACAGTTTGAAATCCAAACTCCATTTTTAAGCAGTTTTTTAAGATTTTATTTATTTGAGAGAGAGAGAGAGCGAGCCCATGAGTGGGGGTAGGTAGTGGGGGTGGGTATTGGTGCTGAGGGAGAGGAAGAAGCAGACTCCCCGAAAAGCAGGGATCCCTATGGGTGGGGCTCAGTCCCAGGTCCCTGGTATCAAGATATGAACCGAAGTCAGATGCTTAATCAACTGAGCCACCCAGGAGCCCCTTAAGCAGTTTTTTTTAAAAGCCGAGAACGTGTAAACCTGAATAACAAGGGCTGGAACTATAAAATTCATACCCAGGATACTAGCTTTTATTGAGTTTCCAGGATACTACGGGCACTAGGCTCAGAGCCTTATACACATTATCACATTTAGTCAACCCAGGGGAAAAAGTGATCTGAGAGGCTGGCTGGGTATTTTCTATTTGCTGCTCCAGAGCCTTATCGACTTTGCTCTGTGCCAAGAGAGGCTCACTGATATGAACCACCAGCTCCTTATCCTTGCCGCTTCTTATGGGGAGGACTTGTGGAGAGGGAGATGTGGTACTTACTCCACTGGCTCTCTTTCTGTCAGATTCCCTTGGATTGCCTTCATTCTTCCCATCAGGCAGCCCTTTCCATTGCTACTGTTATGGACTGAATGTTTGTGTCCCCCTCCCTCAAATTCATATATTAAAACCCTAATCCCCAAAGTGATATTTGGAAGTAGGGCCTTTGTGGGGTTTTTTTGTTTGTTTGTTTGTTTAAAGATTTTATTTATTTATTTATTTGACAGAGACCCAGCAAGAGAGGGAATACAAGCTGGGGGAGTGTGAGAGGGAGAAGCAGGCCTCCTGCTAAGCAGGGAGCCCAATGTGGAGCCCGACTGCAGGACCCTGAGATCTCGACCTGAGCGGAAGGCAGACACTCAACTACTGAGCCACCCAAGAGCCCTGGAAGTAGGGCCTTTGGATGGCAATTAGGTCTAGACGAAATCATGAAGGCAACCCCATATGACAAGATTAGCTTTCTTCTAGGAAGAGGAAGAGAGACCAGAGCTTGCTCTTTCTCTGCCGTGTGATGACATGTGGGAAGGCAGTTGTGTGCAAGCCTGGGAACCAGCTCTCACCAGGAACCGAATCTGCCGAGGTCTGGAGCTACGGCTTCCCAGGCTCGAGCTATGAGAAACAAACGTCTGTTGTTCAAGCTACCCAGGCTGTTTGCATTTTGTTGAAGCAGCCCAGCACCCTAAGACAGCTACCCTCTCAGAATTCCAGGACCACTGCCCTCCATGGCCTCTTCAGGCACAGGGGAGATAGGG